GGCGAATTTGTAGCTTCACTCATGACTCATATGGTACTTCCTTATAAGAATACTACTCCTGTTCGTTTGAGAGTGTGCAAGAAGGCATTCAATGTGTGTTATCGTAGACAATCTTAATATGAAATTACTGTCCGCTACCAAATAAATAACGAAGAGTCCAAAGGATTTCGTTGAAGAGCATTTTTTTCCAGATGATCGTATGCACTTTCGATTTACCAAGCTGCTGAAGATGCATTTGATGATGTGGATGCGAGAAGTTAGACCATGGATGAGTAGACAACAAAATCTACTACGTCTCCTCCTTCCCGTTGTAAAACTTTGTTGATCAATAAGCTCTGGTGTGCAGTCTTAGGGCCGCATGTATTAACATTCCTGGAGGAGAGGGAATTGCGGCTCTAAAGAAAGCTTCATATCCTGAAGCTCCGAACTTCTGGATCTCGCACTGTCTACCTACCCGTGAGTGTTCCTAACATCCTTTACTATGAACATATTGAACAGGGTTAAGAAGCTGTACAAGCCGCATTTTCCTGCTTTCTGTATGATCTCCTGATGATCCTCTTTGGCCAAACGTCTTTTCTTCAAAGCCGTTTTTCTTTCTTCGAACGAAAACCTTTCAAAGTTGTGCTGTCTAACCCAAAAATGCTAAGCATGTTGCTGATAAGAACAAATGAGTTTTTTTTGAAAAATCGAATTTTTCGATAAGCTCTAACTTTCGAGTTTTGGTTCATCACAAATTCATGATTCCAGCACATCATTTGTTCTTATCAGAAACATGCTTGGTACTGTTTGTTTAGATGATCAGTGAAACTGACTTTGAAGAAAGAAAGCTGACCTTAGAGAAAAGACGGTCGAGCGCTGGGAATCATTAGGGAATCGTATAAAAATCTGGAAAATGCGGCTTGTACAGCACAGGGCTCAGCACAGCTGGCACCGGGTCAAGCTAGATATCGTTTTTAGGGCGGAAAGCAAAATGGATATCGTTTCTGCAAGGGCCGAGGCGGAGAACTGCCGCAAAAATGCCGCCGGCATGCCACCGGCATGCCATTGGCAGCTGTCCATCAACAAACAAAAACGTTGTTTTCAGCCAATCGCAATAGTATGACACCAAATTTGGTGTGTGCATGCGCGTTGGTGGACCGGAACTGCGGGCCAAAAATTTATGAAAACTTATGTGAATGAAAGCTGTGCCGAACTTTTTTGTGAATTAGCTGGCACCGTGCCAGCTGGGTGCCAGCTGAGCTGGCACCGACACTTTGCTCACATAAGTTTTCACACTTTTTTACATAAAATGTACCTACACTGTAAAAGACTACATACGGAGAAGAAACATTTTCATAATGTTCTCTTTTTAGCGTTTTATAGCAATTTGAAAACCACTTAGTCTGCTCCGCAATCGAAAAATCGGCTTTTTCTGCTTCTCAAGATGTGATTGGACCACCTTTAAAAGCTCAGAAAGCTGTGAAAAGTTCTTTCATGAAATCAGAAATGCATGAAAACACTACTATTAGGTTGTTACACAAGTCTTGTTACACTTTAATTCTTACGGCGATAAGTCAAGCACCTCACATTCTTTACAGGGCTCCGGGGTACCGTTCGATAGAGCAAAGCAAGCTCTACAAGACAGTGTGCAAAAGTGCGCACCAACTTCGACCCACTATAAGTTTGCAATCAAAATCTAAGTCGCACTAAAGGCTCAAAAATCACGAAAAATTCATATCTTCGCTCAAAAAATTTTTAGAAATCTCCAACTTGCTCATAAAAATTGCACACTATATCAGACACTCATATGTGCCGTTGCTGTATTTCTTCCTCATCTAGAAATCGAGAAAACGAAAATTTTCATGTTTTTACAAAAACGAAGCTATGCTGTTCCTATTTATGTAGCTGTATACTACAAGCCCATAGAAGTATAACCGTAAATTTCCAGCTTTCTAGAAGCCCTGGTTTTCGAGAAATACCGAATTTAGCTTTTTTCGCTCGGGTGTTCAATGCTAAATTGGGTAAATTTCAAAAACTAGGGCTTCTAAAAAGCTGAAAATTTACGGTTATACTCCTAAGGGCTTGTAGTATACAGCTAATTTTTTTGAGCGAACATATGAATTTTTCGTCATTTTTGAGCCTTTAGTACGACTCAGATTTTGGATGCAAACTTATAGTGGGTCGAAGTTGGTGCGCACTTTTGCACACTGTCTTATAGAGCTTGCTTTGCTCTATCGAATGGTTCCCTGTAGCCCTGTAAAGAATGTGAGGTGTTTGACTTATCGCCGTAAGAAGTAAAGTATAACAAGACTTATGTAACAACCTAATACATTTTTTTACAATAATATAAAAATGATGCGGGTTTTCAAAACAGGTCAAAAGGGGCTTCGTACAAAATTTTCAATATCAAACGGGACTTCGTTTTTAAAATTTCCCTGGTGCCAGCTCGTGCCGAGCCCTGGTACAGCTTCTTGCCCCCATTCAATATGATAGTAGGTTTACTTACGGACAAACAAAATAAAATCAAGATATCTGGAGCTTCAGGATACAAAGCTTTTCTTATAAGCTGCGATCCCCTCCCCAGCGGGGATGTTAATGAATGATATCTGAATCAAAATCTAAACCAAATAAATCTTATACAATGGAAGGCCGGCACTTCTTGCATTGTAAATCACGTTAAAGCAGCACTACATGGCCTCACAAGATTTCAAAGCACTGCCTTGTGTATCAAATCTTTGATAGAGTGCTGCTCAGTTGTGCAAGTTCAAAGGGAGTGTGCTCGGTAAAGAAGCTTTCCAAACCTAACAGGGAAATGGTTAGGAATAGCAGTGGGTTATTTCAAACAAGCTGCATACCTTTTGGCGCAGCATAGTATGCAGACTTTGAGTCTTTTTTCCGTATTCATTAAACGCCATTGTGGGCACTTCTGTTGCAAGAGAATCGTCTATGCGAATTACAAATTTAGACACCTCTCTGCTATTGTAGCCCTGCTTACAAATTTTTTAAAATGAAACAACCTAATGATCACTCAGAAAACTCCGGCCATGGCGGCGGCCACACGCGTCGCGTACGCATTTTCCACAATGGCATTTTCGTTTCTTATCTATTTATCATTTTTTTCTATTTATCATTTTTTTGCATAATTGTTAGCAGCCAGACACTTGAAGCGACGTAGTTAGATGCTAAAGGTTCCAATGTTATATGCTCTTGTTTTCGACGGACGCAAAGATCAAATCCGTCGTCCCGATTTTATGAATGCCCTATACGTGTTTTGGCGCAGCATTGAGCCGAATGGATCTGTACTTTCGAATTTACATTTCGCATACCCGATATCTTTGCAATGGCTCAAGCGTTCGTCTACAGAGACATTCAACACATTAAAAAGACATCGATTTGGAATCAGCGTTCTATGCAGCATTCGTTGGTGCGCAGCTTGTTGAAAATAGCCATTTCGACTTGTGACCATTTGCTTGTAAGTGCGAAATGCTGTACTTTTGCGCGATTCAGATCTTTACGGAAATTGCAAAGCTCACATTGTTTGCAATGAACACTGCAATGGACTCTCATAAGTTCTACATAGTCGCCCATGAAAATTAAGAACGCATTCGAGCAGGGACTCCAGATGTATTGTCGATTTGCCCTCATCTTAGTGGATGGGCCATCTCAATCATTTCCAAGAGACTTACTAAATGTGTCTGCTGTACAGACACCGAAGTGTCTACATGAAGCCGTCGTACGCGCATGTATGGACTCTGTAACCGATCCATCTGCAAGCTTTATTTCCATCTTTGATGGTCAAAACAAAATCTCGTGTGGCCGATGGTCAGGGTGCTCAGACAGTCGAGGGCATACCTCCGGAGCAGAAATGGCCGAGCCGCGGGTTTTCCCAGCTGGGGATTGCCCTCCCATTTGTGCTCCGGAGCCCTGCCATTTTGTGCTCCGAAGACCTCCCATTTGTGCGCCGGACCCCTCCGATTTTCTGCTCCACAAGTCTGCCGCCGCATACTATAATTAGCCCTAATTAAGCTCCAAACCCCAATTTTGTCTCTAAACCCCACCCAAATTAGCCGAGTACGACCCCCCCCCCCCGGGTAGGACTTCAGCGCGACCCTCAACCCCGTTCTTTACCCCCTCCCTCTCACCCCTAGCGTTTGTGGATAAAAGATAAAAGAAAGAATGAAGAGACAAGACATTTATTTCGAACTAGTTGGCATACCCGGCTCCGCCCGGGCCTGTCATTATTATATTCGTAATCAGCATGCTCGATTACCCCCCTATGCCAACTCCCAGCCCCGTAGCTCAAATTTTGCAAAAAATCGATAAAATCGACGACGATCGATAACGAAAAGTGGACTGTGACACCCGCCTGGGCCCGTAGTGTATGTGTGCCAAGTTTGGTCCGGATCGGTTCAGAAATGGAATTTTCTATTCGGAACATACGTACACACAGACAGACAGACAGACAAACAGACATTCAGCTTTATATATAAGATTAACTGCAAACAATCTCCTGCAAATTGCAAAACAAAACTTAGCAGCTACAAAACGGACAACAAAGACAACAGTTGCCGGCAACCTATGGTCTTACCCTAAGCGAAAACATAAGCGAAGTAAGTGTAGTGTGTTAGATTGTTTGGAAAAACACAGCGCAAAACCTTTTGTCAGAAAACCTTTGAGTGCTGATATCTGCATTGCAGCGCAAAACAATGAGGAAACTCGCACAGAATAGGTCTCGGTTGAGAAATGATGTACACGATGTAATATGAGACAGACACCACAACAGTGAAGAAAAGCAATGATGATGCTACTGAAAGCCACCTCGCCCTGAATGTACTGCTAGAGAAAACAGCGAAAGCAAACGTCTACCGTTTAGGAAATGAAATACTGACTAATCATCGTGTGATCTTCAGCTTACTGCTAACAAGGAAGCAAATGCAGTAACGTGACACACTAGAACTAATTTTATTCACAAGTTATCAAGGATTTCTAAACCTGTCCTATACGGCAGACGCAAAGGTATATTACATGAAATGTATAGATTGGAGAGTTTTCATGATGATTATAATGAAACTATAGTTGGCTGGAGCAAGCTCAAGTTCGTACAATTGCATTCTACCGCTGCGCACCGACCACAGAAACAACATTCCTCCTAGCGAGAGCTGTAAACCATCTCGAAGCGATTATTATGAACATAATACAGATACTTACGACACTGAACAGAAATGGCAGAAGAAACAGTGCAGCGTTAACGCAGAAGAGTGGCGAAACACCATGACGTTGCCAGACAACATCAATAGCTCGCATGACAGCTAAACCCATCAGAGTGCTGCAACATTCGATCAAATCTTACAGTTCAGAATAGGCTTGGGTCATAGGATACATGAATTTTGTGGGAGAAGTAGGAGCCAATGACAAAAGACTTATATTCAGATCGGAATTGGCTTGCGTGTCTGTTAAGTTCAAGGTAAAGTTACGCGTTTCCTGCGAGATCGTACTCTCAGCGCACATTCCGCGATCCGGAAAAGAATTCGTACAATTAGTAGTAAAAGGAAGTTTGAAGGCAGCCCAAAAAGCTGCTAACAAGAAAATGCCTATTTGCAAAGTTGATCAGAGAGTTAAATTTTCCAATTTTTTTGTGGTAAATGATCTGACATGAGAAGTCAAAGCCAATTGAGAATTTTTTTCTGTCAGAGAGTACGAAAAAGAAATAAGCTTGCAACAGCTGGGTAATAGCGCGAATAGGAAGACGCTAGTATCAAAATCGGTCATGCGGACGATTTTGAGAAAATGAAAGAAGGAAATAAAGTTTGACGCACCTAAAAAGTACATGTAGCCGAGAAGAGATGTAATGGTTCGAGAGGTGTCTAGATATGGCTTCACATCCGCATGTGACAGAAATCTGAAATTGCAAGTGCTTGCCGGCTATACAGTTATACACATAATAAGACCATTTGAAAAGTTCTTCCAATGGCTAGAGCCATACAACCGGCTGTAAATTTTGCGTGCCAACCTTGCTGACACCCATCTACAGTCGAGTGGATTTCCCGCTTAATATAGTGTGCTTGCACAGAAGGTGAAATGCGGTAAAATTTGCGCGTAAACAGATAGTTTTGACTGAGACGCCGGCCAATTGCGTGCGCAAAATGCCGGCAGTACTGGCATGGCTACTTCTTCACGCGCAAGTTTTACCGCATTTCACCTTCTGTGCAAGCACACTATATTAAGCTGGAAATCTACTCGACTGTATATAACTAAAGTGTGATGAGTTTCGTGAACTCTATGCAGGTGAGATTTACTTGCAATATTCTGCATGAAGATGCGTCGCTTTGAGAATTGCAAGAAAATTCTTGAAACTGCTAATTCTTGAAATTTTGAAACTTTCGTCATTGCGGTCGAGCAGAACAACATTACGACACCAGTGCCTCTAATTAAGGCAATCAGTGAAGCCGCACCTGTTCGGAAATTCATGTAGCTAGTCTTACCTACGACCCACCCCTCCCCACTGCAGACCTATCTGAAATACTCCTTCATTCTCATTTCCAAAATCTCACAGCGTGGCACTGCAGGAGAAAAGTCTATAATAGGAGATTTTGACTCGAAGTGTAGGTCTAACTTTCTAACTTTCGCATATCCCCAGGGTGACTGACTTATACTGTAATCCTCTGGAGTTAGATCGTAATCAAATTCGAAAAAAAAGAACGAGTAATATTGAAGAACTCCAAATTATAGATGAAAGAATAAATTCTGACACTGCATCAACTTGATTGACGTCGAAACGATCTAGTAATCTGAGAGGGATATATGACATTAAACATGATTAGACATTAAAAAGGTTTACTCACAGAGAATCGTTGTTTCCTTCACGCAAAGCTTAGAGAGCAGGCACATCAAAAAGAAGGTCATCAAGGCCTGGCAAGGTAGGCCTGCAAACTCGACTGCACCAACATCCCACATCAGCCATATGGATAATGCCAGAAACAAAAGATGAGCGAGAACAAGAAATCGCTGAAAACACACCTCGATAAGTGGCTCATAGGACTTTGATTCAGATGTTATGTCCGGTAGATATTAGATAAAGTTGCCTGAAACTCTAACGCTTACCTTAGCATGCATCTGCCCGAAAAGCCACAGATGTTCGGAACGAGCTCAAATTAATCACAAAAACCACTCCATCAAAAGTCAACGATGTCTCAGCAAGTCGAAAAGAGCCAAACACTGAAAGTGATTGAGTGCATCCGCACGAAAATTTGAAACATAAACCTGAAAACGAGGAACTTACAACAACATAAACGCCAACGCGACGAAGAGCAACGCGGAAAAGAAAAAAACGGTAAAGAAACGCGGAAAAACAACAAAATCAAAGAAACAACGACTAAAATCATTCTATAACAGAAAAATAGCAACGTATTGATTAGCACCTTTTGCACCGGCCTTTAAATTTGTTGCGTGAGCCCGAATACCGTACCCCATTCCCTCTTGTGTTTGATGAAAAAAATGGCGACTGACGCGCATAAACTGCAGATGAAACGTAGTCTCCATGGTCTAGTGGCTAAGAGGTGCGACTCTCTGCTGCCAGACTCGGTTTCGATTCCCCGCTCAGGAATTCCTTTTTGCCACTAACGTTGGCTCCAAAAAACAGCTGATTTCTCCACAGATCCTATTATATGCTCGAGTCATTTGTAACTTAATATGCGTACTGCACACCATACGCGCTATTTGACGAACATAGAAGATTGGAAACTGCCCATTTCAGCGACTTCGTCTTTTTCGTTGCCCCTTTTGGTTTGAAAGGATTTTAATTAGTCGGTAGTATACACTTTCACACTATAATACGTTAGAAAAGATTTGATCGAGAAGCTAATGTAAAGGGTGTCGTCCGTTGAAACGCTTTGTGTGCAGGCTCACATATTAAGTTACGAATGACTCGACTATATATAAAAAGAATCTGTGTCTCAAAATTTAAAGGTACCTCCACTTTAAAGATATATTTCGCCCCCAAAATGAACGAAATATAAAAATGTAAGAGCATTTTCGCTCAAGAGCTTGTTGTCTTCTTTTTATTGGTACCATTCTCTCCGACCCATCTTCACTGGTTCGTGAGTTATGAGCGCTCTGAGTTAACGTATCGGTTGAAAGCGCTGCTGCTTCTTGAACGATATCTTTCGTGGTTCTGATAACCACTCAGGGCCGCATGCACTAACCTCCCCATTGGGGAGGGGATCGCAGCTTAGAAGGAAGCTTTATATTTCGAAACTCCAGTACCTGGATTTCACATTGTGTACCTATCCGTAAGTAATCCTATTACCCTTCACTATGAACATGTTGAACAGGAGCGAGAAGCTGTACGAACCGCATTTTCCAGCCTTTGTATGATCCCTGATGATCCCCGGCGCATTTCTTCAAAGTCATTTTTCTTTTTCCGAAGTTAACGAAAACCTTCCAAAGTTGTACTGAACATCTAACACAACAGTGCTAAGCATGTTGCTGACGAGAACGAATGAGTTTTTGAAAAGTCGGATTTTTCGGCAAACCTCAAATCTCGACCTGTGGATCATCGAAAACTTCATGACTTCAAAACATCATTTGTTCTTATCAGCAACGGGCTTAGCACTGTCGGTTTAGATAATCTGCGCAACTTTGGAGGTTTTTCGTTAACTTCGGAGAAAGAAAAATGACTTTAAAGAAAAGCGCCGCGGATCATCAGGGATCATACTAAAGCTAGAAAATGCGGTTCGTACAGCTTCTCGCTCCTCTTAACATGTTCATAGTGAAGGGCAGTAGGAATACTTACGGATAGGTACACAACGTGAAATCCAGGTATCTGAAGTTTCGAAATATAAAACTTTCTTTTAAGCTGCGATCCCCTCCTCGCGGGGATGTTAGTGCATGCGGCCCTCAGATAATCGCGGGGGACAGGCGACAATGCGAATTTTGAGCAAGCGGGCACCGGAAAATTAGTTCGGTGATTTCTTCCGGTCCGCTTGAAGAAATCTGGAATAATTTGGCCAATTTTTGGACGAACGCTCGGAGAACTATCGCGGTCTTCCTGTGGATAAGTTGCGGCACAGTGGCCGCATTCTCGCGGTCTTTCCGCGAGAATACGCAAAATTGTTGGGGCCGCACGGTCCTTTGTGGAGGACCGCACTGCCCAGGATGCCTTCCGTTGGAAGAAGATACCCCAAACTAAGCTAATCAAACCATCTGACAGCTCTGCCGCATAGAGTCTCATCTTTACTCGGCGTATACCCGAAACTGCGTTGAAAGAGTTCGAGCGCTTGCTGAACGTTTGGCCAGCGCTCGCTTAAAGAAATTATTTGCCAAGCGCTTGCAGAAAATGCTGTATTGCTGCCCGCTGGCAGAATATGCGACCGTAAAGGAAGTGCCGCCCGCTGAAGATTTGGCCACGCCCCAAAATTCTGCTGACCGCTTGCAGAAAAGCGCGAGTTTGCGGACCGCCTGCCCCGGCGATTATCTGAGTACTTGCGGGGAAGTTCGAACGGTGCTATCCTTGTGTCCGTGGCCCAAAATTTCAAAGTCGTGAATTTGACCGAGATTTGGTCGATTGGGATCACAAATATCACATTCTTTTTTCACAAAAGCGCCACTTGGTGGGGCAACGGTGACTATAAGTAGAAGAGTCAGTTCTGTTGTGGCTGAAATTTGGTCTAGGGGGTTTTCTGAGGTGCTAATCACGAATACCATACTCTTTCTGCATTCTGCGGCGGGCTTAGTCTTCCAAAATCCTTCAAACCAACGTATGCCGGGCCCTGCGGTTTTAGCACGAAAGATGAGGGGGACGCTGTGAGCATACTGATTAGAAGTACATTGAAGGGGAGGAGGATACTGCGACTTTCTTCAGTAAGCTTTCCAAAAAAGGGGGTTTTGCAGACGGGACAGTTCCTTGAATAACGAAGAAAGAGTGGACAACTTCACTGTGGATTTTCAGAGGGAAAAACTTAGTGCATTTTGGCTGAGAAACTGGGAAAGGAGAACTGATATTTTAAAGGCAGTGTCCGGGCAAAAACTCGATTTTGAGATTTTGTGTTTACCGGGCCCATTCGCTACGCTGAATCCGAAAATCCACACTGGAAAGCGCGAAAACGGCGAAAAAGGGCTCTAACGCAGGAGGGAAATCAAAAGTGGGCGGAGTCTTCCCCAGGGTGAATTCACGGTCACAGCTCCCGGAGCGATCTTTTCGCTTCCGATTTCAGATCTTGCATTCGCACTTGGTCCATTGAGATGTCAGGGCGGTTAGTGGAATTGAAAAGATCGCCCCGAAAGCTGGGATCGTGAATTCACCTTGGGGAAGGCCCCGCCCA